GAGAGTTAGGTCAAAATTTTCTACATAATATGCCATCCTCTGGTTTTGTTCTTGGTTTGAATTCCGTTCTGAATTCAATTGTGTCATAAACAAAGTATTACAATAGTGGTTACAAAATCTACGAAGAGAGATAAAAAATATCGTTAGCTTTTCATAAAATGGTATTAAAGAATTACAAATAAAGTTAATTCCTCATACTACTTTTTAGGCTTCAAATGGTAGGAGTTAATGCAACAGCCACAAGCAAAAAAATTACCTTTATTTCTTGGCAATTTCTTTCGCATATTATTTGTCTCTTGTGTTTAAAATTGTTCTTTAATAACAGGGTACTTAACATAGCATTTAGCAATGTCGTGATGAAGTTGTTTAAATACAACTGTGAGCACCTGTTTCCGAACGGGGGGCAGCAGGCAAAGGCGAGTGCTATAATAGGTAACCTTCTTATCGACAGAGCACTCGGCAGTTGTGGCAGCCAATTTGCAACAACCGACTAACACAGCAATATATATGGAAGTTGAAAAAATTTTTCGTGCAGTCACGGAGGCTACACTGCAATCCAATGACATCCAATGAGACATCCAATGCATTGCATATAGCCAAGATGACGCTGGAACCAGAAGACCTATGAGTATATGGGGAAAAACGGAGATATTACAAGAACCTTCTAAAACAAAAACATACTCAATATATAGAAAAAGAAGGTGAAAGAATCGCCGAAGAAGCACTGAATGATCCGTATGTAGCCATCAGACCCAGAAGAACATCAAGATCTAGCAACATAGGAATAGGAACGTGGGAAACACACTTCACTAATATTCTTAACAGTACAGGGCAACAAGTGGCGTATGAAATTGAATGCAGCAATCAACTTGAAGCCATATCCCCCATCACTAAAATAGAAGTGATGGACGCCATCAAAATTACAAAATGTAAAAAGGCCGCTGGACCAGACGGGTTTTACAATGAACACCTAAAAGAATCGGCACAATGCCTGGCAGAACTATGGTCCAAGCTATTTAGCAAATGCCTAGAATCAGGAAACATCCCCGAAGAATGGAGGAAATCAACAATTAAAACCCTCTACAAAGGGAAAGGTGAAACCAACGACCCTAACTCGTACAGAGGAATTGCGTTAGAAAGCAACATCTTCAAGTTGCTAACAAGAATTCTAACCAACAGGATAATAGAAAAAGTCAACCCCAAGATACCAGAGGAACAATTTGGCTTTAGAAGAGGAAGAGGAACCTTGCATGCAATACAAAACTTACTAAACGACATAGAAGAAACACAGAGATTCCGAAAGGGAAAATTCTATGCAGTCTTC